ACGTTATTAATCTTATCTCCGTTGTCTGTTATGCACGGACTTTCCCTTCCTGATGCGCGACGGGCAACGACCCATCGTTAGTTTCGTTACGCAGCCTTTGTGAATCTGTCCGCTAACAAGCGTCAACGCGAATCCGATTAGTTAACAAGGGCAAAAGCTCCGTCACCACCCTGCGCAGGAGACGACGTCATCTTCCCCCTCGATATTTGGCTACGGATGGCCATGGTTCATGAGATTAATTACGTACAAGTAATTTGCTTCCAGTGCTCTTTCTTGTCGCTGACGTGAGAACGAGGATCCTCTGATTTTGTGCAGTTTGCAAGTGTGCGTGGGGCCCACATGTCAGTGGCATAACTGTAAACTGCACAAAGTTAGGGGATCTATTCCCTGATGTGAGGTAGTAGAGGATTTCAAGAACAATTTAGAAGTTACCAACACAATATTGTTACTATTCTGCATCGCTGCGTCAGCATCTTCCAGAATATTGTGTTCTTGGTTAGCTTGGTTAGCTTGTACAACTTTTTTTATTGCCCAGCTAAATAGTTATATTATGGCACTGTAATTCGAAGACAGGGGGGCAAATGTATCCTTTTGCCCCCTAGCCCATGCACCACATCGGAAGCAACCCATCACATGTTATTGTACAACATGACGTGGTGATATACGAGATGGTGTCGTGCGCCGCCGCACATGCGCGTTGAGGATGAGTGGACTGGAGCGGCGGCACGCTCGTCTGGTCCGGCGGCGGCGGCGTTGTAGAGCAGTGGCTCGGTGCCTCTCGGTGGACTAGGTGAATATGGTAGGTATGGCAGTGGGTCGAGTCGGGTATAGGCATAGCGAATCCATGCCCGGCTGGAGACCTACGTACCCGTGACCGTGCCCGACCCACGCCCGAGAAGCCAATCGGGCAAAACCCCATGCCCGTCGGTCACAGGCATGCCCAATGGGTACCCACTGTGCGTGTGCGCCGCCATCTCCTTCCGTCCTTCGCCCGTGCGTCGTCGGCGCCACACCGCAGTCTAGCTCCCTCCGACGAGCGCCACCGCCATGGACCGCCTCCGCGCTGGGAGCTCCATATACGGGTGGCAGCAACACGGGCTCCTCCTCCCTAGGCGGCATCCGCGAGGCTGGCTCAGGTCATGGCTTCGCCGTCGCCGTCGTCACCCTGAGCCGCCACCGTTGTCACCTGCCCTCACCAACCCATGCCAGCCCGCGCCGCCGCCATCGACTGCCTGCGTCGCCGCCTGCCGTCGTTGTGTGATTGGGGTAGGAGAGGGGAGTGGGGAATTAGATTAGGGTTTCTAGTTGAGTATATATATGCCCTTGGTTAATGGGCCAAATGGACCAAGAGAAAGAGGTATGGGAATTAAGAGATGGGCCAAAATTAGCTAAAAATAGGTATCGGGTCGGGCATGGGTTACCAAGGGCAAAAAGTATTACCCAGTTGTTGCCCACTGCGTTCTTGGGTCTCGGACGAGCGTGCCCACGGGCAAAATATTACACCCATGCCCATGCCCATCGGATCGGTTATTCACAGATACCCGGACCCACGGGTAAAACTGCCATTCCTAAAATATGGGGATGAGACTAAGGTATAGGGTTAGGAAGTTATATACATGGTCATTGGGCCTTAATTTTATGGACCAAAACGGTTGATAAATTATAGAATTGGTCTACAGGTACAGCGAACGTGAGTCACCGCGGAGGGGCGGGGACAAGGAGTGGAGTGTCATCACCGCCCCCACCATCCTCGATGGTGATGATTTTTGGACCATTAGATTTTCTAAGTAGATATATCAACCATCCTCATCTAATAATATGTGAATTCACCGTGGGGAATCAATGATCGGGTCCCTATTGGTATCTCTAGCTAACTTCGCTCCTATTTTAGATGAATCCTAGCTTTAAAAGATATAAAGCTAGAGCTAGATCAGCTATATCTACGTAGTACCAAACAGGCCCTTAATTACATGATTAATTTGCGCCGATTTAGAACTTTCATATGATTTTTGTTTTACAACTTAGGTCTGTAGGATCAACTAATCATTTCTCCCCACTTGCGTAGTTCATCAACCGAAAAAGAAACTGAACATCCTTGTCATTCACTTTAGCATATGACGAGGCAGCTAAACATCAGGTTTCTTCACAAGCCACAAAAGTTATATGCCCGATGCGCAAAAAGAAAAAGAAAAAGGGCCCATCGTATGACTTTTTCCCTAATAAGTCAAAACGGTTTATTAAAAAATAAAAATAAATTTATATGTAAAACTTTTATATGCGTGTTCTTGGTGATTTAAAATCAATACTGAAAAAGAAACTACATTGAAATTATCTTAAAATTAAGTTTAAAAATTTAAAAAAATTGTTTTTTATTTGGTTGATTAGGCTATTCGATAAGAGCCAAAATCAACTTTAAATGTTAGTAGAGAAAAAGAAACTACTGTACGCTTTTAACCACGGTGCAGGTTGAAGCACACGGTAGTAGAAGTACTACTACCCTCATTTCAAAGTAGTCGTCGCTTTGAGTTTTTATTTGTAACGTTTAATCATTCGTTTATTAAAAAAAATATATAATTATTATTTATTTTATTTGTAATTTACTTTATTATCAAAATTACTATAAGTTGATTTATCATTTTCTATATTTACACTAATTTTTTAAATTAGGTGAATAGTTAAATGTTATAAAAATTAAAATGACCACTAATTTAAGATGGATGTAGTATGAAGTACTAGTATAATAAAATTTTTAAAAGAAATCAAATCTGAATACCGATGCGATCAAATGGACGTTGTTCTGTTCAGAATTCGTCAGAAAAAACGAATCGCAGAACGTACGGATTCAACGAACTTGATGAGGCACTCGAGTACCCGGACGGACCGATTCGGTGTAAAGTGTACACGTAGCATATCCCGTCCCCCGTCCGATGGAGACGCGTGTGTTCCTTGGCCACGTGTTCTCCAAACACCATGCCGGGGGCTCTGCCGGCCCCACCGCCACGGTGGGGCCCTCCTCCCTGCGCCTCCCCCAGACTGATTTCACCACGTGATCGGATGGACGGTCTTGATCACCCCATCGTGCCGCTGGGACCACCCCCCTACTTACCAAATAACCCTCGGTTATTCCCCCCGCAACAAAAACACCCTCATGCGGGGATGCCACCATCACTGACAGGTGGGCTCCACGTACTGACAAGCCCTGCACGAGAGGGGTGTTTACGTCATTGCACCCCCCCAAAAAAAATCTTCTTCTGTTTTTTTTTTCTCTGGGTGGCACCAGCTGCACGGCGCACATGGCGGCACGAGCACGACGGCGTGGGCGGGCCGCGCAACCGGACGGACCCGACCGTGTTTGCTGTGCGGCCGCATCGCCGTCTGATCCATCCACCCATCCATCCTTGTGCGGCTTCCGATCTGTGCGCCGTACAAGTGAGAGAGAGGGGGGGAGCAGCGGCGCAGCGCGTGTCGCACTGTTGCCCTGCTCGTCACGTTGTCCAGCTGCCGCCCTCCACGTGGCGGGCGGACACAGGGGGTGGGCGTGTGTCATTTTCCCGGTTTCTTTTTTTTTCCCTCCCTTTTCTGGCGCTTAGCTTTTGAGAGATGCTCGCATCTTCACGCAAGCACGACACGCCCACCTGCTGCTATCACAGACTTCATTATTCTTTTTTTTCGTGTAAATTAATAGTTTATTATACTCAAGAAAAGAAACCAGGAAGTAAGCAATAGCCTGATAAAAATCCTAGGGAAAATACTATTATTGGAAAAAAATATATGAGTAGCTAAAAGGCAGCGACTGTGACCTCATCCAACAGAGGACATTTGTCCATCGCAGCGCACACACACCAGTGAAGGCGCGACAAGCGAGCGAGACATGGACATGGACGGCCACGGCAAGCTACACCACAGTCGCCTACTAGTACTATAGTACTAGGAACCTGATTAGGGAGCTTTTAACTGCGGTAACTTTTCTCAAAATCAAAAGTTTCGTTTAAATTTTAGTCCAGATTCTAAAAGGCTATAATTGTAAAATCCAGAAAATAAACTAGAAGCCACAACTTGAAAAACCTAGCTTTTCTATATTTTGAGAAACTCGCTATCAATCAGTTGCTTCTCAGAATGTTAGAGTGTATTTAGTTCACGCTAAAATTGGAAGTTTGGTTGAAATTAGAACGATGTGTCGGAAAAGTTGGAAATTTATGTGTGTAGGAAAGGTTTGATGTGATGGAAAAGTTAGAAGTTTGAAGAAAAAGTTTGGAACTAAACTCGGCCTAAGTGCAAGTATAATAGTAAGCTATAAACTGGCTAAATGCTGAGGTGGAGGAGAGAGGAGAGGAGAGGAGAGGAGAGAAAGGAGAAGCAGGCTATAAACTTACAGCCGGCTTGAAAAAAAAACCAGAAACTCTGTGAGAGAGATAAGTGGGTCCTGTATTAATTATAAAGAGCTAGCTAATTATATAGATAGATTAAAAGAATCTTATAATCAACAGATCGGGGCTGTATTATTAGTCTTTGCTCCAAGCTTCCCAAACAGATCCTAGCACGGGTGCTACATCTGCAGCCCTTCCGAATCATCACGTGTTCACACCCCCCACCACGGGGAAGACAACACGTGCCCCCCGCCGCTGCCCGCTGCTCGCGGCGCCGCACCCGATCCGGCGATCCCCTCCGTGGCCCCCACCACGCCCACGCTGCCGTCGCTCGACACCTGTCCCCAACACACGCGGCGCGCACGCAAAAGTGGACGTAGCTTTCCCACCCCGTCTCCACTTCTGCTGCTAGTACTACTATACGAGAGTAAAAAGCTTGTAACCGCAACTGCCCTCGTGTCTGTGCGTGCGCGCGCGCGTGTTTTGCCTTTGCCTCGCTGCGTGCTCTCTCTGCTCGCTCTCGCGCGCGCGACGCGGGGTTGCTTCCTCGCGGGGGCACGCGACGCGCCACGCCACGCCGCGCCGCGCGGCGCGCTGTTTGGAGGAGGGGGAGGGGGGGGGGGGGGGGCGTGGATTTGGATCCGCGAGGCTGTGCCTGCGGGTGGTGCGTTGGCGTGGCCTTGAGGGAGGTGAGGTGGATCGGGGGCGCAGATCTGGAGGGCGCATGAGGAGGCGGCGCCGGAGAGGAGGAGGAGGAGGAGGAGGAGGGAGAGGGTGGTGTAGTGGGAGCGGCCGAGATGGGGCGTCGACGGGGTGGTGATCCTGGAGGCTGTGGTGGCGAGTGAGGCGGCGGCGGTGGTGGTGGTGGGGGTGGGGGAGGAGGGGGCTGGGATGGAGGACGTGGCGGTGGCGGCGGCGCTCGCTCCTGCGCCGGCGACGGCTCCGGTTTTTAGCCCCGCCGCGGCGGGGCTCACGCTGATCGCCGCCGCGGCCGCGGACCCGATCGCGGCCGTGGTGGCGGGGGCCATGGACGGGGTGGTGACCGTGCCGCCGGTCAGGACGGCGTCGGCGGTGGAGGACGATGCGGTGGCACCGGGGAGGGGGGAGGAAGGGGGGGAGGCGTCGGCGGTGGGGAGCCCGTGCTCGGTGACCAGCGACTGCAGCAGCGTGGCCAGCGCGGACTTCGAGGGGGTTGGCCTGGGATTCTTCGGGGCGGCGGCGGATGGCGGCGCCGCTATGGTGTTCGAGGATTCGGCGGCGTCGGCGGCCACGGTCGAGGCAGAGGCACGCGTCGCGGCCGGGGCGAGGAGCGTCTTCGCCGTCGAGTGCGTGCCCCTGTGGGGGCACAAGTCGATTTGTGGCCGCCGGCCAGAAATGGAGGACGCCGTCGTCGCCGTGTCCAGATTCTTCGACATCCCGCTATGGATGCTCACCGGCAACTCCGTCGTCGACGGCCTCGACCCCATGTCGTTCCGCCTCCCAGCACACTTCTTCGGTGTCTACGACGGCCACGGTGGCGCGCAGGTAAAGGCCGCCATTAATGACGCATCTCTACGAATTCCGCAATTAATTTTTGCTTGCAAGTGAAAGCTATGTGCACGAACCAACCGATTTCCGTACAATTACAGTAGATTTCGGTTGATTCATGTTCAGGTTGCAAATTACTGTCGGGAGCGGCTCCACGCTGCGTTGGTGGAGGAGCTGAGCAGGATAGAGGGGTCTGTGTCCGGTGCTAACTTGGGATCTGTGGAGTTCAAGAAGAAGTGGGAACAGGCGTTTGTGGACTGCTTCTCGAGGGTGGACGAGGAGGTGGGAGGCAATGCGAGCAGGGGAGAAGCTGTAGCACCCGAGACCGTGGGATCTACGGCTGTAGTCGCTGTGATCTGCTCCTCGCACATCATCGTTGCTAATTGTGGAGACTCACGGGCAGTGCTCTGTCGTGGCAAGCAGCCTGTGCCGCTATCAGTGGATCATAAAGTATGCTTCCATGCCCCGTGAGATTGATGGGCTTTTCATTGCTTGCACTGAACTTTGGTTCACATGTTAACTTGATGTTGATTGGCTTTCTCTTTGTACGTGCTTCAGCCTAACAGGGAGGATGAATATGCAAGGATCGAGGCAGAAGGTGGCAAGGTTATACAGTGGAATGGCTATCGAGTTTTTGGTGTTCTTGCCATGTCGCGATCAATAGGTACACATACCATTCTCTTCTTTAGAACACGTTTTGTTGATATAGTGGAAACCACCATGGTTTAATATTGTCGTTGGATGCTTTTGACATGTTCCAGCAATTTATGTGTGTTATTGCATTTAGTTCTTGACCAACAGCTTTATACCTTCTGGGTTGGCTGATATACCAGTTGCAATGCTGCTTGATGTTAATCTTTGCTACTTTGTTACACTACTATTTTGCAATTCTTAGAGGTTTTCTGGTCTGTCAAAGTGAAGGAAATGAAGGAATGAATTTAAGGACTACTATAAATGAACCATCAGTACTGCAGAAAATATGCTACTTGTTTTGTCTGTCTTTGTCAAAATGCTATTGGGCGGCAAGGCTGCCAAACATGACTTTTGCCTAACTGAGCGCAAAAGTTCAATAAGGACTAGTTCATGAAAAGTGATTTCTTTACCAAACAGCTTTCACGGTTTTTGGATTAGACACCACTTGTGTTTGTTCTTCAGGACTGAACAATTTTACTGGCCACCTTGTCATTTATGTACCATATGGTCTTGATCATGTCTGATGCTCCACATGACCTGGTATTCTTGGAATTCAACACCATCAGGATGGACCACAAGAGAATTGCACTGTTTACTGTATGCTAGAACTTTCTATTGATTATGGAATAAGCATCCCATAAAGATAGTCATAATTTCTTAAGCGTCCAAGAAACGGTCTTGTTAAAAAACTTCAATTCACAAAGTTGCTTGTGCTTAAGTGATTCTTATTCTTGTACCACTTATTCGGTTCCATCACAAGCTTCTGCTGTCTAAGAAAGATAGTGGTCCCACTGTCGATATTTTGTTGCCTATTATTGTAGCACTAACATAATTTTAAAAAGCTAATTAACCTAATAGCATGTGGAACTTCTGTTTCAAGGAAACATTATTTGACTATGAGGATTGCCCTGATATTTAATAAGCAAACGGAGAAAAAAAGTCACTGCATTACAAATCGATTTTTTAATTTTGGTTTAGCCCTTTATTTTCAGGTGCATAAGTTAAATATACCTTCCAAATCCCAAGTGCCTGCTCAAACAGTTGTGTGTATTCAACAGTATACATTAAAGTGAGGTTTCAAGGTCTTGTGGCCCATCTGCCATTTAAAAATTTATATTTGGAGCAGTTCCAGCAGTAATTGTGTAGATATTTGGCACTCACTTTCCTTAGATGACAAAGATTAGCAGCATGTGTTAGGAACATTTCCTAGATCTCTAATTGACAATATATGGGTTTGTTATTCGACTTCCCTTACAAGCCAAAAGGTAGCAACATGTTTTAGAAGCATTTTGCTAGATCTGTAATTAATAGTGCAAGTTTTGGTGTCTGATTTTCCTTGGATGTCAAAGAGTAGCAGCATGTGTTTGGAGCATTTTCCTTGCTCTCTGATGTTCCTTGAGGCTGTGAGCTTTTGATTTCTATGTAACTGTTTGCTTTTTAATTAGTTAATCATTTTGTTTGTTTTTTGTTTGGGTGGATGAGGCTTGTTAGGGAGTGTAGGAGCGAGGTAGAAATATCAACACTTTGTCCTTGTAACAACTCATTGTCATGTGTATCGATCTTCTGGTATTCTTTCCTGAAGTGTTCATGTTGAATCTTTTTCATAAAAAAAAGCTTGTCTATTTGTAAAGTTCCTGCCAACCTTTCTTTTGTTCTTTTTGGGTGAGCATCATGTGTTTTTGCTGTTTGTTTCCTTTCTATTGCAATGCTAAGTACTGAGCGTTGCACATGCATGTAGTAACCAATCATACGACCCTATACTCCTATGAGATGGCTACTTTGGTATGCCAAGTTTTGTTTCATCCACAACATGTTTTTTCCTAATCCACGTAGCCTATATGGTTTTGTATGTCATACCAAAGCAGTCTTGTGTTTTACAGCTGTCACTATTGCATTTTAAGAGACAAGTCACAACCAGTACATGTTTCTTGACACTTTCTAGTTGCTTTTGTAAAATTGTACTTGTTACCACTATAGAGTGCCTTTTTTTTTTTTGCCAAAAGCTCCTGTTCATCATTTGTACAACCCCGTCCTCCACATATTTGTGCTTCTTTATCATTTTACTCTACCAAAAGATAACAAGAGATAAATCTTATGGAAATATATATTCTCAGTCCACGTTTATTACTGGAAATATATAGTTATGAATAAAGTTTGGAAATATTGACTACTGATCCCACGGTGACTTGCATTTCTCGACACAGGGGATATCTCACTAGCTGTGTCATTCCAATGCAATAGATCATGAACAAATGACTAGGTAAGTAGGTCATAATTAAAATTTGCTACATATAATCAAAACCGCATTATATCACCTGTATGAAATACACCTTGCACAATAATCACCAATTGGTGCAAGAATAGTACCAATAATAAGGCAAAATTATGCTGTATGGAGACCAAACAAAATTCATATTCAACCAGGTAAGTTGCACTTAACACAAGAGAAATCAAAAACTGCTAAGCAAAAACCTTAGTTTGAGTTTTCACTTCCGTTTGCATTAGCTGGTCTGATTTTCCAGCAACTCTCCTGCTCAATACAAGGTTGACAAAACACACAGAAAAGGATAATTAGTCATGTTCTATATTATAAAAACACTGTTTTCGCAGTTGGCTAAAACAATACGATGTACATGAGGATGCTCATAACTTTTCGTTTTCCATTACTAGAAACTGTAGAACTACACAAGAACGACACCCGCTTTTGTACAAAAAAAAAGGAGAGGAGAAATCACAACACAAATGGTCAGGTTCTTATTCACTTTGAACGAATGTGTTCTTATTCACAATGAGGTAACTAGTGGCCAAGTACAACAGGGCCTCAACTCTCTCGTCACTCTTGGTGCTTGGACGCTTTGGAAACATCGAAATCTGTTTTTTGATTGTGTTGTCCCAAACTTGTCAGGAAGAGGCGTGATTTGGTGTTTGGCTGGGGGTTAGAGGGTTTCCCTTCTTGACAGCCATAGAGCTTGGTGGTTAGATCCAGGTCGTGGTCCAATTTAATCTATTATAAGCACGCATGTATGCTCTTCTAATGAAGATGAAGTTAGGGCACGGAAAATAAGAAAGCCATTAGCATGTGATTGATTAAGTTTTAATTATTACAGACTTGAAAAATATATTTATTTGATATTTTAAAGCAACTTCTATATAGAAAGTTTTCGCACGAAACATATTGTTTAGCAGTTTAAAAAGGGTGCTAACGGAAGCAGAGATAGAATATATATCTTAATCAGAAAAGAAAATTCACCAACTGTGTATGCTCAGGGTTTTCTACCCTTTCTTCTTAATATAATGATACACAGCTCTTCTAACTTTGAACAAATGTTAATGAAAATGGACTAAAATGTATTGGGAGTTAGTGCAAGCAATTCAGGTATGAACATAAGAACATGACAACAGAATTTCTTTTGTTGGGAATTTCCGTTATGTTGTTTCTTTGTGGTGGATTTTTAAAAAATCGTTGTGAGGAAGTGGTGGTGGTTTGTGTGTGTGTGTGTGTGTGTGTGTGTGTGTTTTGGGGGGGGCTAATATGTGTTTCTCCTGCATATCCGAGAGAAAAAAATGGGGATGCAATTGTTAGGACTTAATGGTACTCTGTAACAACTATAAGCCTCACGCATGCGCAAATCAGATACTTATTTGTTCCTAGAGGCACAAGAACTGCTAAGTTGAACAATATATGATTAGACTGGGTAAATAAATGGAAATCATGTGCCCCATGATATTCTCTTATTTTGTGATTTTGTAGGATATTTTTCATTAACCTCTTTGGATCTGTGGTCTACCTGACCAGTTCAATTAAAGATTCACCTTCTGAACCTACATACCTCCTCCTTTGCATCTAATGATGGTTGATGCACCTCTGTTATCGAGCATGCAATAACTGCTAAGAGCTTTTGTCCGCTATTTTTTTAGGAAATACAATTTCTTGTTATAGAATAACAGTCACTGTTCATTCTGCTCTTACATCAGCCAATAGCTTTTATCATGCAATATTTTTCTCTGATCAAGAATACACGATACAAAAACATTTCAGCCTCACTTCCTGCGCTGTGTCTGTTACAGGTGACAGATATCTCAAGCCATGGATAATTCCAGTCCCCGAGATCACTATTGTTCCTCGAGCAAAGGATGACGAATGTCTCGTTCTTGCTAGTGATGGTCTCTGGGACGTCATGTCAAACGAAGAGGTATGCGATGTTGCTCGCAAGCGAATACTGCTGTGGCACAAGAAGAATGGCACAAACCCAGCATCAGCCCCGCGAAGCGGTGACTCGTCAGATCCGGCAGCTGAAGCAGCTGCTGAGTGCTTGTCGAAGCTTGCTCTCCAGAAGGGGAGCAAGGACAACATTAGCGTCATTGTCGTTGACCTCAAGGCACATAGGAAGTTCAAGAGCAAAAGCTAACATCTTCTTGATGAACAGCAACAGTGACAGAATTTCTAGGGATCTACAGAGATTTGGAGAATCCAAATTCGATCGATTTAGAGGACTCCTTTTTAGTACATTACTTAGCCCAGTTCTCCCTCTTATTTTCTTTTACCATTTGACCCTCCCAAGGGCTGTATTCATGTATACGGTACAGATTGCAAAATCCGCACCGGGGTCTATGTTTCCTGATGGCGGTGGATCATCCCCGTTTTCTGTTCTTCTTTCGTTGTTGCCCCCTTATTCTTTTTGTTAAGCTGGGCCATCATGTATCTGGCAAATGTATATTTGAGCCTGTAAGGTACAAAGAAACTGAGTGGTATAAAGGATGATGTACTGCCTTCTCAACTATGAACTGGGGTCCGGATTAACTTCTGTTTCCAAACTAAGAAGAAGCAACAATTAATTTGTACACAAACACAACTAAAATACCCCTCTAATGATAGTTCCGCGATGTCTTGCCGTCATATCATTGGGCATAGCAAAAATGTGAAGCAACGGCACGCCAAAAAGTATATTATTCCCTTCAGTATCACCGCTAAATGATCGTATATCACGCGCAATGCCGAACAATGACGAGCAGGAGATATACCGCCTAGAAAGCTCTAGATGCGGTTCAGGCAATTCCATCGTTCCTTTTTTCTTTTACATGTCGAAATGTACAGCAGCAGAAGGATAAGGGATAATCAACACAAATCATATACGATCCGATCCTAATTCCTTTTATGTTTTAGTTTCGACTAATTAAGAATGAATAGATTCGTTTCGCGAATTAGTCTAGAGTTATGAAATGAGTTTTATCATTAGTCTACTTTTAATATTTCTAATTAGTGTCAAATATCCGATATGATAGGATAATTTAGTCCCTCGATCCAAATAGTCACTCGGATGAATCGATGAATCAGCGTGAGGGCAGGACAGAGGATGACGGGAACGCGAAGCCGCGGTAGCTTGAGCCTTGAGGCTGGCCACCGGGGAGATACAAGAGCTGTCTATTCCATCCTTCATCAACCAAACAAAAAAAATTAAAATCATCCTACCCCATAAACCAAACAAACAAATAAAATCACCATAACCCAAAAAATCAGGGGTGGACTTATTCCGTCCCACCTTATTCTCAAAACAAGTACAATCTTCGTTTTGTAATATATGATGATGCCATTGATTTTTCGACAAACGTTTGGCCATTTGACTTATTCAAAATTTTTATGTAAATATATAAAAAAAATCATGCTTAAAAAACATTTGATAATAAATAAAATCACAATGAAATAAATGATAATTACATTTTTTTAATAAGATGAATGATCAAATGTATCTGGAAAAATCAATAGTGACATATATTAAAAAACAGAGAAAGTACATGCTTAGATTATCTTGACATCTTACCATTGTTTATGCCCACATCGGCTCCTCCCATTTGTTCAGAGTTGTGCGATGCCACCATTGCTTTCATTTGCTTACGGATGAAAGATGTATCAGCTTATTTAATTTAAAATACACAAAACAAGGCCATGAAATATTGATGTCATTGATAGCAAGCCGTGTTGCCAAGATCAGTTTGCGATCAGATCGGCTGTTGCTCCCAAAACAATCAAATGCAAAATTCACATCAGTTCCACGGATCGTATGGATGATCCAGGCAGTACAGTGTATAAATAATAGAACCAAAACTCGGCTTTACGCCATAACAAACTGTAAGACCATCATTGATCTGTCGACAAGGAATCAGCTGTCAGGGGGCATGATCCATTACTCTCAATCCTTTGCAACCAATCTAATGCGCTTGCCATCAACAGAAAACCTGGAGCTTGAAGAAATCTGCGACATAGTAATAGTTCATCATTTTCTGTCACTTATCAACAGCACATCTTGACAAATACTGAAGGAGAACAAGTTAATTACAGGCAAGTAAGCTACAATTTTTTTGACATTGTACTACCTTATCCATCAAGATAGCGTGCATCTGCTCCTTATCTTCTGTCAGACCACATTCCAGAAGTTCCTTAGTTACTAGCTTTTGTAGCTTCTTTAACTTCAGAACTCCATCTGGATTCTGAAAGGGTAAAAGGAGAACTGTCAACCGCCGGATAATTTAAGCACAAACACAAAACAAAAATAGAGCAGTGTTTGTTGTATAGAAGTCCTACCGTCTGAAGTACTTTGGTAATAATTTTCTTCCACTTGATTTTCTGCTTTTTACTGCCTTTAAGGTTGGCACTACTAACTAATTCATCTTTAGTACCCTTGCTCTTTGCTTTGGTTTCTGCCTCTTCATTTGAAGATTGTACCACTTCTCCACTGTTCACGCTCAAGTTGTTCTGTCTTTTCGTGTTATCTGGCTCTTCTGAGGTCGTATCATTTGCTCTCTTTCTCTTTGCTGCATCGTTGTCCACACCTCTTTCATTTTCAGTACTCCTCTCATTGTTTACTTGTGCTGATTCTGTCACAGGTGCACCAACAGTTTCCTTGGGAGTTTGTTCAACTCCATTTGCTTGCTTCTGAGAAGCATGATAGGCTTTTGCTTTTGCCCTGTGCTTCTTGCCATCTGCATGTGATAAGAGTGTTTGCTTGCTAGTGGTTGTCGTCTTGCAAAGGCTGTGATACAAATCCACAATAAGTGCAAAGTTTTTAAACGTTTCCACAGAGTATTTGAATTAAGACCTAATAAATATCGACCCAGAACAATGAATACTAGTGAATGCTGCTTCAGCTGATATGGCCTGGCTACAAGGACAAACACGAGATTGTTTATCTAAAGAATGATGACCTATTTTTTTTGTAACTCTGACATTGTCTTTCCAAAATAATTGGATGACCAATACTAGCTCTAAGAGTAAGTGTTATACGGTTGTAGCTACAACCAGTAGAAAAAACAAGGACAAAAATGATGTTAAGCGTAGACAATTGCAGCTTAAAAAAACATCACATTTGTTTCATTAGTGTTATAGACACAATCACACCTCACATACTAAAGAATCACCTTAATAACAAAGCAAGGTGTTTCTCTATGGTTGCACCAATGCACGTAAAACACAAGGTACAAACATTAATCATACTCTACACCTTAACATTTTAAAATATAGAATGTCCAGAGCTAACATGATGGGACATGGCTTCCGCTGTTTCCACAGTTCCACTACAGAACCATCTGCAAATGTAACTATTAATATGTTGCACGGTGAAATTAGCAAACCTGCAGAACCAAGGGGGATATGTCGACAGCCCGACATTGATATCAACATCAGCATTTGGCTTTGGCTTGTCTTGCTTGCCCTGTGCATTGTTGGATGCTTTGTTCTGTCCCTTGGGACCATACTTCTCCTGAAAGGGAATGCAGCATTAAGATTCAAAGCACAATTTACACATGAATCTATAGCCAATCTGAACAAATAGAATCATCTCCGAGAGTTAAACATCCCTCAAAGAATTCAGATAAGACCTGTGTGATGTGGAGCTCAACTGCTCAGTAAATTTTGACGGAACATACTCTTAGTACAGACCTACTCAGTGTCTGAGTGGATTACATTAATAGACTTTCAAAGCATAAGACAGTGTTTGACCGATCGATTTCACAATAATCAGATCCAATCCCAACCAAATAGAACCAAATCACCCTGATCTCTGTAGTTTACTAATTAGAACATAATGAAATTGTCAGAATTCACAAATTCCACCTTAATCCCTACTATCCACTAAATCGAATGAAAGAAATGAAAGCAATTCGACCTGGCCTCACCATATAAGCAATAGCATGAAACATTTCCAATCCAATACCATTCAATTCGACACTAATTCAAACACAGGTTACATGTGCAAACCAAACGAATCACGTTTCACTAGTACTTAATGAGCAATCAAGAAACGGGCATATGGGGAAGGTGTACTCACAGCCTCGGAGATGCACTGGGTGTGGCCCTGGACGGTCTCCTGGGTGAAGAACTCGCCGCAGTCGATGCAGGAGAGCTGCCGCCGCAACACAAAAATCGCAAACAAATCAATCACAATCCACCACTTCTCTCACCTCGAGACGATCAAGAGACTCTGCTCACTTCGGAGACGAGCAAGATCAGAGAGAGGGGGGGAGGGAGAGCAAACCCTGTAGGCGGAGCAGGAGCGGAAGTGGCCGGCGAGCTTGGGCTTCTTGAGGTCGTCCCCGCAGTCCTCGCACTGGAACCACACCATTGTCGACGCTGCCGCCGCCGCCGCCGCCTCTTCACCTCCGACGAGCGGGCGGCGCTAGGGTTTTGGGTGCGAGGCGAGGCGAAGGACGCAGCGGCAATTGGGATTTGTCCCTCGCAAGACACGCGACCGTGGACTTAACGGAGGCCCAAGCCCATTTGACCTCTTTTGCATGGGCCATCGCACCATACGGCCCACTACCCACATGGTGGCTCCCTTTGAGATTGAAATCGGAACACGACGAAAAAGCCAGAAACGAACAAGATTTGTTCATCTTAAAATCTATCTATTACTAGCAAAATGCCCATGCGTTGCAATGGGTGAAGCAAAAAAAAATAGTAATTAGTGTGTGGGAGCATAAAGCCACAAATCCACTTACATGAATACTAAAGTTTGAAACCACAAAAAAATACTTTTTTTGTCATGTATTATTATGAGTCAATTGCAATACATGGTTATTTTTTGGTACTCGATATTGATAAACACATATTTTTCATATTGTAAAGAGTAGCCATAGTACAAGAAATATTTTTCGCTAGCTATCAGATCAACCTCACTGCAATCCAATTGCATAATCGCTCACTCAAAAAATTAGAAGGAAATGGTAAATGAATGGAAAGAAAAAAAAGGTGGTGTATCGCAGAATAACTTGCACTTTAAATAATAGAAGAAATCATACAATGAATGGAAAAAAAAGTGATGTGCTTAGGTGTCCTACGGCGAATGAGAAATTGACGAGGGTAAAAAAGCCGGATATAAACACGATTCATTCTATCGGTGATTACATGTTTTTTTAAAAAGATTTTTTTGTTGGTAAATAATTCATTTTGTTGGTTATTACATGCTTTTAAGTAATAAAATTGATTTTTTTATCCGGTTCCTGGTAGGCATGACTCCAAACTTCATTCCTGCTCTGTGCTACAGTGTCGCGCGGTACTGTGCTACAGTGTCGCGCGGTACTGTGTTGGGTTGCTGCTCCTCTGCTCTGTGGGGTCGCTGGTGGGCTGCGGCTTCTTTTTTCTGGGCCGGCCTGCTGTTGCTTTGGATGGGCTGCGATTGTCATTAATCAACGAATCCGGGCTGCTTTGGATGGGCTGCTCCACAAATAAGGCTTTCTCTTTTTTTTTTCTTTTCTCTTTCATTTGCAGGCGTAAGAGATCTCGCGGTCACGCTTTTAGATTGTGGATTAGCGATAAAATTTCGTGTGGGCCCACGCTTAATGACGGACAAAAAGATTAACCGGAAATCTTACTTATTTTTTAATTAGGTATAGATATTATTAAAGGAATAGAAAAAGAAGCCTCCACGTTCGCTCTCATAGCCTAGAAATTCTCACATTAATCGGAGAAAAAGAAAAAACAGAGTCCATATAGAATTACAATTTAGAAATAGCTGAAATTCGAAATTAAAAAAATAAGGAATATTAGAAGAGGAGACTAGAGTTCATATAGAAATACAATTTAGAAATAGTTGAAATTCTGTTCTAAAAAAAGAAATACTTGAAATTCGGAATTAAAAAATAAAGAATATTAGAAGAGGAGACTAGAGTCCATATAGAAATACAATTAGGAAATAATTGAAATTCGGAATTAAAAATAAGGAATATTAGAAGTAAAGTATAGAGTCCATATAGAAATACAATTAGGAAATAATTGAAATTCAGAATTAAAAAATAAGGAATATTAGAAGTAGAGTATAGAGTCCATATAGAAATACAATTAGGAAATAACTGAAATTCAGAATTAAAAATAAGGAATATTAGAAGTAGACTATAGAGTCCATATAGAAATACAATTAGGAAATAATGGAAATTCGGAATTAAAAATAAGGAATGTTAGAAGTAGAGTATAGATTCCATATGGAAATACAATTAAGAAAAAAAAAGAAATTCGGAATTAAAAAATAAGGAATATTAGAAGTAGAGTATAGAGTCCATATAGGAATTTAAAACTAACTAAAATTTGGAATAAACAAAATAAAATTAAAAGTAGAGTTTAAAGTCCGTATAAAAATACAATTTATAAATAACTAAAATTCGAAATTAAGAAAAACATGGGAATAAGAGTTTAAAGTCAATATAGGAATACAATTTAGAAGTAACTGAAATTTAAAATTAAAAATTAAAGAATATTGATAGATGAGTTTAGAGTCCACATAGAAATACAATTATAAATAATAAAAATTCAAAAATAAGAATAAATAATATTGGAAGAAGAGCATAGAGTCTATATAGAAATACAATTTACAGAAAATTCGGAATTAGAAAAAAGAAATATTAAAAGATGAGTCTAGAGTCCATATAGGAATATATATAATTTACAAATAACTAAAATTTGATATTAAAATAATTAATAACTAACACGTATATAAAATACAATATAAATATTACACATTAGTAGTTTTGTAAAGTTATTGAAAAATTTAAAATTATGTTGTCATTTTAATATATTTGAATAATATAATGAGAAAACATATATGCTATTATATGAGAGAAAATATAATGATGCCAGCCGCGCAATCTGCGCGGGCCACCATGCTAGTTATATTATTAAAACAGCTTTGAAAGGAGGCACCACGTTTGTTGTGGGGGCTAGAAATTTCTACATTAATCGGCGAAAAAGAAAAAAAAAGAAAAGGAGAGTCCAAGTAGAAATACAATCTAAAAATAGCTGAAATTCAGAATTAAAAATAAGCAATATTGAAAGAAGTTTCCGTATAAGAACCCAATACGAGATTAATCAAAATTCGAAATAAAAATAAAATAAAATCCAAAATTAGAAAAAAAAGAGAGTCCAAGTAGAAATTCAATTTTAAAATAGCTGAAATTCGGAACTAAAAATAAGAAATATTGAAAGAAGTTTCCATATAAGAACCCAATACAAGATTAATAAAAAATTCAAAATAAAAATAAAATAAAATCCAAAATTTGAAAAGAAAATGATAGTCCAAGTAGGAATACAATTGTAAAATATCTGAAATTCTAAATTAAAAATAAGAAATATTAAAAGAAGAGTCCATATAAGAACCCAATACGAGATTAATTAAAATTGGGAATAAAAATAAAATCGGAAATTAGCAAAAAAAAAAGAAGAAGAAGAGTTCAAGTAAGAATACAATTTAAAATTAGCTGAAATTCAGAATAAAAAAATAAATAATATTGAAAGAAGAATTAAAAAATAAAATATTATTAAATATTAGAAATATTAAAAGAGAGTTCATATAGGAATATAATATTGAAACAACTGAAATTGAAAATAAAAAATAAAAATACTAAAAGAATACAATAAAATATTAATTAAAATTTGAAAAAAAAATTCTGAAATTAGAAAAAGAAAAATAAGATTTCAATTAGGAATGCAATTTATAAATAACTAAAATTTGTGATAAAAATAAAGACTATTGAAAGGAAAGATCATCTAAAACACATGACAAGATAAATTAAGTAATAGGCCTATAAAGGAATAGAGTGGTGGCGGTTGATACGACATATAAAAACTGTTAATGAAACACCAAATAGAATCTTAATTACGATTAAAAGGAGGGACGACAGACAGACCGTGAAGCAAACGAGCAAGGCGGTTGCCGGGACTTCTAGAAAGTAACCCCCCATTGATAATTATATTCGATTTTTAAAATCTCAATGACAATGAAAAGGAGAAGCAGCGGGCGGGGTGTATAAGAGTATAGTTGCAGAGCCACCGACGGTTGACAGAACTTCTAGAAAATAAAAAATGAATTCCAACGATAGTTATGTTCGATTTTTAGAATCACAATGACAATAAAAGAGTAGGCGGCGGATGGGCCGTAGAGGAGTATAATGTCATCGTTTGACGAGACTTCTGAAAATTATAAAAAATAAAACATAACAAGACAATAAACTCTAAAAACTACTAGGTCCAAATTTTAAAGGTTCGGGACTTCTAAAAAGTAAAAAAAAACAATGATAATCATGTTCGATTTTAAAATCTCAATGATAATAAAGAAGGGAGGCAGCGGACGAGCCGTAGAGAAGTACAATTGCAAAGCCGCTGACGGTTTGGCAGGACTTTTCGAAAGTAAAAATGAACTCAAACGATAATTATGCTCGATTTTTAAAATCTCAATGACAATAAAGAGAAGAGACAGTGGACGAGCCATAGAGGAGTATAATGGAAACGTTTGACGGGACGTCTAGAAATTATAAAAACAAAACCCAACGTGACAATAAACAAAATCCAATTTTTAAAGGTTCCAAGGAGAATGAATAGAAATAGTGGTAGATCAAGCAAGCAAATAAAGAAGGAGATGACATAAGGGGTAGCAACTGGTATGACTTTTAAAAAATTATATAATTAGAAACACGGGGATGATAAAGTTTGGTCTTTCAAAGTCTTAAGACAATAAGATAGCTATTTAATAAATTTTAAGTAAAATCATACTATAAAAAATATATGATTTTGTTTGGGTGCTAGCCACGCAATTGCGCGGGTCACCCATCTAGTTGCTCTTGTAAGAGACATATCTAGTGGACTCATCGTTTCGCTTGTAAACGATTGTACTGTTAAAAGCAAATGCTTAAAAATAAACTAAGATGGAAAAAAAAATCCTAAAGTCAACTCAAAATTAAAATTTTTGTTTATGCTTATAAGTTAAAGGCTAAATGATGTGGATTTTAAATCTGAACTACCATTGTGAAGGATTTGCTGAACTTTTATTCATTGACGAATTTAACTCTCTGATTCTGAACCAATAATCTCAATCAGTATACGTGGGCAATTACAACTTCGGCGCAATTTAGATCGATCGGTCAGGAATAACAATTTCTGACATCACGTAATATACGTTTAGTAATGAATTTTATTAGCGTAACAGCCTCTCAGCACACCACTACACTGTGAAACTGCTGTGCATATCCGGATATTTCATAATCTAAATTTCAGCATAAAGAGCTACTAAAACATTGTGCACAATATTATCCAAAATCACTCTATGAATATTTGCACTTTTGAGGTGATCCCATCCATGAGTTGCTTGACTATGGAGGATTTCTCCCTGTCGCCCTTGGGATACCTTGATCCTGTCGGGGTGGGTCGATAGTAATTGCAACTCTCTTCGTCAGTCAAAATGATCGTCTGTAAAGCCATAGCTAGCTCCATGACCATTCTTACAAACTCCATGTATTTCTCCTCTACTTTGAAGCCAGCAATCTTCAGGCTCTTCAGATGCTTGTGCTTGAATTCTGAACAGGTCGTCTCGCAATACGGCGTCTCTTGCTGCCTACCGTGTCGACTGCGCATGTCCTTCTGTATCTGTGATCAGCAAGGTCATAACTTTGTTAGGATTGAACACGCATGTCACAAAACGATGACTCTGCTATATATGTTTTTGAGGCCGTGGCGACGGGGACGGCACGGCGACGGCGCGGAGTTGGGCGTGGCGGTGGGGCGCCACGGTGTCGGCTCTCCGCGGCTCCAGCGACGGGCGACGGCGTCGCCAGATCTGGTCTCCCCGCTTGGCCGGGGTGACCGGCGACGGGCTCGGTCGTCGCCGGCGCCGCTCCACGGACCTGGCAGGGGGGTGGCTAGCGGCGGCGATGGTGGCGGGTGTGGCGGCGATGAAGTTGGCGACGACGGCGGCGGACTGCGGCGCGTGCCGTGACGCCGGCCCTCGTCAAGAACCTCGTTGCCACGAGGGAGGCGTGGCGCCCTCGTCAATGCTCCGGCTGTGAACGCCGTTCCCGTGACGCCTTCCTCCACGATGCCGGCGACCCGCGCTCCGCGCTGCACCTCCGATCCGCGCCACCCCGGCCGGATCTGGACGGCTGGCGTCTGGCGGCGCTGGCTAGCGACAGTGGCGGCTGACGGTGGCGGCTAGACGGTGGTGGCTGGACGGGGGTGTCCGTGGCGGTGGCGGTGGCGATGGTGGTTGACGGTGGCGGCTGGCGACGGTGGTCGCTGTGGCAGTGGCGGTGGCGGCTGTCGACGATGGTACCTATGGCGGCGATGGTTGAAGGCCATCATCCGGCTGACGGTGCATCGTCGGCGGCGGCGGTATGTGGAGGCGGGGAAGGGGTCTGGCGGCGGGGAAGGAGGAGTCCAGGTGCGGGCGCGCCGTCGACGGCGGGAACAACTGTGGGCGGTGGCCTTGGCCAAATCGCTGAAGGGACAATGTTGTTGACCGATGACGATCCTTCTTGTGCGGATTGGTGGTGTGGGTTTGGACAGGGAATCGCGAGCGAAAGCCTTGCCGAGCCATTTGGCTGGCTGATAACGGCGACGCCGTTTGGCATCGTTCCCCTCCTTAGAGACGTTGTTTTAGCATACCCCTTTCCTTTCCCTACCATATTCTCCGGGTGAAAACCTTGCCTCGGTTCCGAACGAGCGGTGGCGGTGATCCACGTCGCATCCTCCTTGGGGGCACCGCTTTAGAGAAACCTCTTCGTGCAAGGATATTGTCATTGGTCTATGCATTGGCTTCGAACTTCAGTCCTAGGCTTTGTCGAGGCCTTCTAGCTTCACATTTTGTTTTGCTTTTCTCAGTTTGGGTCCTCTCTTCTCTTGTTTGGTGTGTTTAACTTGTCTTGAACTACACTCTCTTCTGGAGTGGATCTTTGTAATAATTGGTTGTAGTTCTTTTTGAACAAAGGCCGGGATATTATATTCCATTATCTAAAAAAAATATGTTTTTGAGGCTGAAACTTGATGGAGATCAAGAGAAAGAGGTACTCATTTTGTGTCAGACAAAATGCAGTGCCCTAAAGACTAGGTGACACTATTAGAGTGGTTTCAGTTTTTAGTTCTGTGGAATGCGTATTAGTTTCATTGATAACAAACTGAATGAACTTGCAGGTAAGAATTAAAAAAAGGCATACCGAAAGGTTGAAGTTCTGGAGGAATGGTGCTGCCTGAAGGAAGAAGATCATCCATAACAACTCATATTGGCCATCACCAAGATTAAGCACGGTCAGCTTGCTGAAGGAACCCTGCAATGGCCTTGGATCCTCAAGTTCTATCCAAATCTGAACGAAAAAAAAAATTCAAAAACAAGAAACTGTCAGTCAACTGCCACTCCTCGCTTACGAACATGAGCAAGATGGATTAAAGAATAAAGATCGATTTTCCGCCGTTCAAGAAACGCAGAGAAAGTTGGCTGACGCTTCTGGCATTGACCAAGAGCTTACCCCCCCCCCCCCCCCGGGCGCGTACGGATGTCTGCCCCGTGGATGAGGCTGAGGTCGGCAAGGATCGGTACAGAGCCGAGGGACACCGGAGCACCATCGGGGAACCAGCTGTCGACGGAGAGCCGCGTGAGCTTGGGGATGCTGCGCAGCACAACCAGCACTCAAGCTCCAGCACCCTGAGCGCCGACGACCCCGGTGCGACGTCGATCACCAGCTCCTCGCCGGGGACGACGCCCGTCGCAGTCGAACACCGCCAGGTGCTCCAGCCGCGCGCGTGCACGCGCTGAGGAGGACGGCGACGTCGGCGCTTCTCAGCTGCAGGTGCCGCAGCTCGAGCTTGGTAAGCGCGCCGAACACGCGTGGCGAGTCCACCGCAATTCCAAACGAAAGGGTTTCGAACAAAGGATTCTTTAGAGTAATTTTAGAGGAATTCAATCTTATAAAACATTTTGTTATGTGGTCATTTGAATCAAAAGAATAACTATAAAAAAATCATATGAATTTCCTTTGGATTAGCTCAAAACCATGCAATTTTTGAAAAATTCTAACATGAGCTTCAACCACCTGGTTGCGTCGGAGATCGCCAAGAACCTGGATACCGCGCGGCAGAAGCGACCCGCAACCCGGTCCAGCGCGCGTTTGTCCACCATCCATAGCTCGACTCCACTCGGGATGAACTTCTTGACGCTTATCCTTGGCTCCAGCAGCAGCCATGGGAGCCACCGCCACCGCCTCGACAGGCTGCACGTCCTGATCGCCTCCACGCGTGCTGCCAACTCCTGCAAGATGAGCAGAAGGATGTCGTCCGGGAGAGGGCTAATCCTGTCTTCCCCTTCAGCTTGCCTGGATGTAGCTGCAGATGCAAGGTGGTTGCCTGCGCACGAAGGGAAGATCTCCATGGATGCTTTGTTCTGTCCCTTGGGAGGACCATACTTCTCCTGAAAAGGGATGCAGCATGGTAATGATTAAGATAATAAGATTCAAACCACAATTTACCATGAATCTATAGCCAACCTAAACGAATAGAATAACCTTAGAGAGTTAAACATCCCTCAAAGAATTCAGAGAAGACCTATGTTATGTGGAGTTCGACTGCTCAGTAAATTTTGATGGAACATAGGCTTCCTTCGTTCCAGCTCCCTCCGCCTTGTTTTCCGCGCGCACGCTTCCTAAACTGCTAAACTGTGCGTTTTTTACAAAAATTTTATATACAAAAGTTGCTTACAAAAATCATATTGATCCATTTTTAAAAACAAATATCTAATACTTAATTAATCACGTGCTAATGGACTGTTCCGTTTTCCGTGCGCACGGTTAGTGTAGGGAACACAGGCTAATGAACGCAGTAGAGACCTATTTAGTGGATTACTTTAAGGCTTTGAAAGCGTTTCACCCTATTCAGTGGATTACTTTAAGGCTTTGAAAGCGCTTCACTGGTCAGTTTCACAATAATCAGATCACCAAATCATCCCCATCTCTGCAGTTGGTTCACTAATAAGAACATAATGAAAACTTACGAATTCCACCCTAATCCCTATCAACTAAAATGAACGAAAAACTGAAAGCAATTCGACCTGGCCTCACCATACAAGCACGAAACATTTCCATCCAATACCATTCGATTCGACGCCAATTCAAACACAGGTTACATGGGAAAAACAAACGAATCACATTTCACTAGAACTGCACGAGCAATCAAGATATGGGTGGAGGGGGCAGGTGTACTCACAGCCCCGGAGATGCACTGGGCGTGGCCCTGGACGGTCTCCTGGCTGAAGGACTCGCCGCAGTCGATGCAGGAGAGCTGCCGCCGCAACACAAAAACCGAAACAAATCAATCACAATCCACCACTTTCTCTCACCTCGAGACGAGCAAGACCAAATTAACCGAAGCTACAGAGAGGGGGGAGGGAAGAGCAAACCCTGTAGGCTGAGCGCAGGAGCGGAAGTGGCCGGCGAGCTTGGGCTTCTTGAGGTCGTCGCCGCCGCAGTCCTCGCACTGGAACCGCGCCATTGTCGACGCCGCCGCGAGCTCTCTTGCTTCACCTCCGACGCGTCTCTCGCTAGGGTTTTTGGCTGCGGGTCGGCGAGGCGAAGGACTGGAAGGCGGAAGCTTCTGCATGCAAGGCCCGTGGAATGGTTGCCGACTTGCCGTAGTGGAGCGGAGGCCCGAGGGGAGAAAGAATTGCTAAAACTTGAGGCCCAAGGCCTAGCCACGTGACCTGATTGCGGCCCATGTTGATAAGTTGCAATAGAGATTTCGGCCCAGTGTTTCTCAGGTTGCATCCAGCCCATGCGCGCTGCAGCCCGATTCGGCAACGGCACCACGAGTCCTCGGCGCGTGCACGCGGCTGGAGCACCTGGCGATGTACGACTGCGACGCCGCCGTCCCCGGCGAGGCGCTGGTGATCGACGTCGCGCCGGGGTCGTCGTCGGCGCTCAGGGAGCTGTGTTGAAGATAATCCTAGCGCCATCTTCTATTTCCGCTCCACTCATTCCTCTACGCGCATGTTGTAACGTCCCGACCTAGAGCTTAATAGAATTAATAGAATACTCATATCAACAAGTTGTAACTTCTTTTTCGGAAGCCGATCTCTAAAGAATTCTAAGGTTAAGCGTGCTTGGCCTGGAGTAATTTAGGGATGAGTGACTGATCGGGAAATTCTTCCCGAGTGCGTGAGTGACCGATGGTCCACAGCATGGCACATGCGCTGAGTGAGGACAAAGTGTGCAGAAAAGACTTGTATTGCTTTGTGAGTTCCCGAGTGCGTGAGTGACCGATGGTCCACAGCATGGCACATGCGCTGAGTGAGGAAAAAGTGTGTAGAAAAGACTTGTATTGCTTTGTGAGTTCCAGAAAAGACTTGTATTGCTTTGTGAGGGTCAGCGCACTGGACACATCTCTCTTAAGGGGGTGAGGATGTAACATCCCGGCCTACTTAATAGGATTAGGGTGAGGATGTAACATCCCGGCCTACTTAATAGGATTAATAGAATACTCGTATCAACAAATTGCAACTTCTTTTCCGGAAGCCGATCTCTAAAGAACTCCGATCTCTAAAGAACTCTGAGGTTAGGCGTGCTTGGCCTGATCGGGAAATTCTTCCCGAGTGCGCATGAGTGAGGACAAAGTGTGCAGAAAAGACTTGTATTGCTTTGTGAGGGCAGTCTATGACCTATAAAAGCTGCCTGCCCTCACAAAGCTGCCAGATGTAAGAGGGCGAACTCTGAGGTTAAGCGTGCTTGGCCTGATCGGGAAATTCTTCCCGAGTGCGCATGAGTGAGGACAAAGTGTGCAGAAAAGACTTGTGTTGGTTTGTGAGGGCAGTCTATGACCTATAAAAGCTGCCAGATGTAAGAGGGCCCGGCCCGGGAGAGGCGGGCCGCTACACATGTCTTCGAGTTTGTGGTTGTTTGTGGAGGTCGTGCGCATGTAGCGCTCCGACGCATGCTGTGTTCATGCGGGAGCACGTCGAGTCTTGGGGAGTGCGTGCGTTTGCATGCTTTCGGTCTTAGGATGGCGCGGCCCAGTCGGGAACGCATGCACGCATGGTGAACGCCGGGGTTGTAGGAACGCATGGTGGACGACCTCGATCGTGGGATGTCATGATCCAGTCGGAGGTTATCAACAACCGTGTATTTGCTTGCTATTTAAGTTCCTAATACAATTAGAAAAGCTGCCAAGTTCTTAGCAACACAAAAACACTGTCTCGCAAACTCTGTTCTTGATTGGAATTTCGTCAAACACCTTGTGGTAGCTAGGTTGTTCGCCAACAATTGGTATCAGAACCTCATTGGCTTGCTGGTGCCATGTCGCAACGCTCGCCCCCACTGCTACGGCCATTGCGCACACCGCCGCACCGGTCGTCACGCACGCCACCACGCCGCCGACTTGCAAAATCCCTGTCGCGCCGTGGGCACGGGGTGTTGATCGACAACCTCTGGCCGTCCAGCCACGCGACGCCAAGGAGTAGAGCGCCTCCGTCTACTACCCGGTTCCGACGAGGGCCAACTATGAGGAATGGGCGCTCCTCATAACCATCAACCTGCAGGCACAGGGTCTCTGGCATGCCGTGGAGCCCTTCGACGACGAGGGGATCGAGTACCGCGATGACAGGCTGGCGTTGGCCCAATTTTACACACAGTGCCGCCAGAGATGCTGCGCCCCCTCTCCTCCAAGCGCACGGGGCAGTCGGCATGGGAAGCAATCAAGACGGTGCGCATCGGCACACGGCACGTGCAGGAGGTGAACGAGCAGCTGTTTCGCCAGGAGTTCGCCGATGCAAGGTTCAAGGATGGTGAAAACGTGGAAGATTTCTCCGTTCGCCTCACCGGTCTCGCCAACAGCATTCGCGGCTTTGGAGGTGATCTCCCTGAGGTAGATGTTGCGTGACTCTGCTGTTGGTGAGACCGGTGAGGCGAACGGAGAAATCTTCCACGTTTTCACCATCCTTGAACCTTGCATCGGCGAACTCCCAGCGAAACAGCTGCTCGTTCCCCACCTGCACGAGTCGTGTGCCGACGCGCACCGTCTCGATTGCCTCCAATGCCGAGGTTGACGGTTATGAGGAGCGCCCATTCCTCGTAGTTGGTCCTCGTCAGAACCGGGTAGTAGACGGAGGCGCTCGACTCCCTGACAACGCGTGGCTGGACGCCTTGAGGCTATCGCTCGCCACGCCCGCGCCCATGGCGCGGCGGGGATTCTGCAGGTCGGCGCGTGGTGGCGTGCACGACGGCCGGTGCGGCGGTGTACGCGACAGCCGCAGCGGTGGCGAGCGCTGCGACATGGCACCAGCGAGCCAACGAGGCTCGTATACCAATTGTTGGCGAACAACCTAGCTACCGCAAGGTGTTCGACGAAATTCCAATCAAGAACAGAGTTTGCGAGAGGGTGTTTTTGCTGCTAACAACTTGGCAGCTTTTATGATTGTACTAGGAACTTAAATATTAAAGCAAATACAACGACTAGAAACGTAGGAATCGGTGCGGATGCGGGTGCGGCACCAGGAGCACCCTGATGACAAGTGTCGGAATTGCAATAAGATAGGCCACTGGGCTAAAGATTGTCGCTCAAAGGCCAAGAATGCCGAAGGCCACATCGCAGCGGAGGACGACGACGAGCCCACGCTGCTGATGGCCCGGACGTGCTTTGGTTGAACGGTGATGCCCGCGCGGGTGTTGACTGACAGTTTTTTTTTTTGGGTTCAGATTTGGATAGAACATGAGGATCCAAGGACATAGCAGGGTGCCTTCAGCAAGCTGACCGTGCTTAATTTTGGTGGAATCTTAGCCGGGCGTGAGCTCTCTTGGACGATCTTCCTCCTCCCGGAATTCGACCTTTCGGTATGCCTTTTATTCTTACCTGCAACACGTTCATTCGGTTTGTTATCAATAATGAAACTACTATGCATTCCAGATAACTAAAGACTGAAACCACTCTAATGTCACCGGCACTGCACTTTGTCAGACAAAATGAGTACCTCTTTCTGCTGTTCTCAATCAAGTTTCAGCCATAAAAACAGATAGCGGAGTCATCATTTTGTGACATGCATGTTCAATCCTCTCTATGTTAATTAGGATGCATCCTCTCTATATTAATTCTGTTGCAAATATGCCAGGTCCTCATGGTTCTTCCTGTTTGTCTTGCAATGGCATAGTTATTGGCAACAAAATAGAGTGACAATCGCCTGCTCATGATGAATATTTTTCAGTTCAAATCCCAGTCCCAACTTTAGAAACCAGCCCGAGTGGATGTTGACAATTTGGCATGCCAGACCATCACAACACAGTTACAAAAACAACCTCAGACTTGACTGCTGGCCCAATAACACAAGATTGATTAATGATTACTGTTCGGCCAGTTTGCTCACGAAAAAGAAAAGGACCATTTAAGATGTAGTATCGACCTGGACTAGACTTGCCTATTCTGAACTTGTGATATCAGGAAGTACTTAACGAACATCACCATGAAAAATTGAAACATGATGCCCTCAAGTGAAGGAACAGAAGAGTAACAAGTTAGGACTAGATTATCCCCAATCACCGGCCCCAAAAAAATGTGAATCAAATCATCTACGGAGTAGAAACAAACCAATCATCCGAGATCAGTTCCTATGATTCCATGAGAGTACTAGAACAATCAGAGATTCACAAAGCAGTGGCACTTGACACGAAATTAGGAACAAGAAACTGAATCATCTTAAGGATTGGACTTTCAAACTTGACTGTTCTTGATGCGATCGACACATGGCTCGCTTCTTCTCCTGGAGGAACTCCACGAGGGCCCTGAGCGCGGCGTCGACGTCGTCGCTAGCTGCGCAGCAGCATCTCCGACACCTCGGCCGGCGTGGCGTCCACGCCGGCGAGCATGCATGTCCATCCGCCCCGGCCGGAGCAGCGCCGCGTCGAGGCGTTCCTTGTAGTTGGTGGTGAAGAGTGAAGACGACCACCCGCTCCTCGCCGCTCGTCGACCACAGCCCGTCGATGAAGTTGAGCAGCCCGGACAGCGTCAGGCTCTGCTGCTCAATCTGAAATCACAAAAAAAACAATAATAATATTCGATCAAGAACAAGAAAGATTGCGTTATTGGTCGGATGTGGCAGTTGTATCTTGTCTGACAAATCATGTTGTGCTCTTTGCCATCGTCTTCCCTCGACCTGGAGGTGAAGCAGCAATCGATGTCCTCGACGACGAGGATGGAGAACAGAGTTGTCGTGCACCTGGAAGAGGTCGAGGTCGTAGAGGTTGAAGCGGAGGTGGTTGGCAATGGCGGCGACGAGGCTGGACTTGCCTGTCCCGGGCGGGCCGTAGAGGAGGTACCCTCGCTTCCACGCCCTGCCCCGGGTCGAGGTCGGCGACGATGGATCGCTTCAGCCCCGGGTCCATGGCGACCGTGTCGAACGTGGCGGGGTGGTGGTGGACGATGCCGCGCCACGACCAGCTCTCGTTCATGTAGATCTTGAGCTCGCGCTCCCGCCGCCGCGCCTGCCCAGCGCCATGTCCGTGTGCTCCGCGTCGAAGCTGAGCTCCAGCGACCACGATTCGCGCAACCTCCCACCGCCTTCCGCGGGGACGGAAGTCCACCTGAACTCCACGCCCTCGAAGACGTCGGACATCGAGTAGCCGGCACCATGGACAGCGAATTCCATCGGCCGCGCTCGCCCCCGCCCCCGACGCCGCTGAGGCGGAACCGGCCCAGGGCACGGGGATCGATCTTGGTGGCGAGGTACGCGTGGGCGTCCGCGAAGCAGCTGTCGTGGCGGCCGTCCTCATCGACGCGGTTGATGATGGCGGTGCGGCGCTCCGCCGGGCGAGGCCCGAGGCGGGCGTGGACGAGTGTCGTGGCCCAGCTCACCACCGCGCATAGGTCGTGCGGCACGACGAGCTCCCTCGCCATGCCGCGCGCCAGCACCGCGTAGGCGGTCATCGTGGTAGCCGTGGCCACCGCCCTCCTGTAGCCTGTAGGTCTCCACCGCCTTGGCGTACGACGGCGACACCCCCGCCGCCGACGAGAGGTCCATGCCCACCAACTGTTCGGCTTGAGGGCTACATGACGTAGGCGTGGCGTCGCCACAGAATTGGAGGTAGATTCCTTTTACGGAGGTGGGACCGAACCATAGAGGGGAGGAATATATAGATTCCACTAGGTGATACCCCGCGTTTTACTTTGGTATTCATTGATGAGTATATGCTAAATATTATCGGAATGATGAAAGTTGAAATGTTGAGAAAATAATACGAGAAAGATGATTTGACATATACTTGTTGATCTCTATAATATAATATTGTAGATGATGTGTCATGCTTGCATGTGATTTAAAATAGGCCAGAATAGTAATTGCTAGTGAGTGAAGATGTGGCATGCTTGCATGAGATTTTGAATGGGCTCGAATAGTAATTGTTAGTGGTGATGATATGACATTCTTGTATGTTGAGGTTTAGCTTCTAATAATTGTTAGTGGGTACCAATTATATAGAAAATATAGATTTATATTATGCTTTTTTTCTTTGTTAAAATAAAGGAAGAACAACACTTCATTTTGGCGGACAAATCCAAAACGACATACTACTACTTACTAAATGTAGACCTCCCTTTTTGGATCCAAGGGATATTTTTTCGCCCTCCCTCAAATAGCTAAAATAGTTAAAATAGCCTAAAAAATCCAAAAGGGTGAACTATTTGAGGGCTATTTGGAAATAACCCACCCAAAAAAACTATCCCACCCAAGGGGTGCTAATTGGGGCTATTTCAGGTGAGGCCCACTGAAAAGTGTCTTTTCTCTATATCTCTCTCTATGGAAAGGTACACTAAATGACAAATAGCTCTCAAAATAACCCTTGGATCCAAATAATTTAGGGCTATTTTATTAGAGGGCTACTTCCTTGTGCTAAAAAATAGCTCTCAAAATAACTCTTGACTAGTTTTCCAAACAGGGCCAATGCCCAAATCTTTTTATGGCTTATACTTTTGAAGGTTTTGTTATCACTTGTAAACTAGTAAATCTTTACTAGCGAGTTCTTTCTGTTGAGTTCGCTACTTACCTTTCTCGTTTTTCGTGCACACGCTTTCAAACAGCTAAACTGTTTATATTTTTCAAAAATTTTGCTATACGAAAGTATCTTTAAAAAACTATATTAATCCTTTTTTTAAAAAAATAATAAATACTTAATTAATCATAAGAAAATACGTCACTCTGTTTTGTATATGCGGGAGGTGAGGTCCTCCCGAACACCACCGTTTCTGCAACTAAAGGAGGGCACTACACGTCGGGCACCCACGTCAGCTGACTTCAGCATACATGCATGCAAAACTACTTTAAACAATTTTTTCTTAAATTATTTATCTAAATCATGATCCGATTGCACCATTATATTCATTGCAATTAAATCTTTAAAATAAGATCACACATGGATATATTCCAATGAATTTTTTAAGCTCATTATTGAATTATTTTTAAATGCTGTACGTTGTTCCACTAAATATATCAGAATTGTTTCACTGAGTAGATTGAATCAATCATTTAAATCGGACGTTGTTTCACTTTATATAAAAACAATGTTTCAGCAAATAGCGAAGTAATGTTTCAATTCACTGCAACATTTAATCTATACATAGTAAAACGTCACGAGTACACTAGGTGAAACATTTTTTTTGAAAAAAAAGTAAAACGCATTACCTTAATAGAGAGTTTCTATAATATATGTGTGATTTGTTGCAATGGAGTATGTGGTAAAGACGCGTAGCAGATGGGCAGGGGCACGTAGGGGGCCCAAAAGGCAGTGCGCGCCGTGAGGGTAGGGAGCGCCCGATTTTTTTCCCTCCCCCAAGCGACCGACACGAAGAATTATCGGCAACTAAATGTTGTAATATTCGTGCTTGTCATCGATTGCAGTTTATTTTCGGGACCACAATAGATGGTTTTTTTTTAAAGATTGATATGTGCTTCAAATTAAGTCTTCAAAGGACCAGGTGTCCAGGTGAACAAGTAACCGCAAAGTGACGAAATTAATAAACTAAATAAAACAATTACTCTGCCCTTGACTATGATTTGAAATATTCTAAAAACATTTTTGTAAAGAATCTATTGTACTGCATTGTTTAGACTCCTCCTTTTAAGCTACCGCTGGCAAGTTCATTTTCTAAAGTATTTTATTAATCTCCAAAATCAAATAATACTAGGCAATTTGTGATCACAGTACATCATTTGAGAGGGTTTTCTTCGAATTAGTAGCAATTTTCTGGGTCATCTAGAAAATGTTCCGGGAATGAAGAAGACAAGACGGCACAAAACCCTCTTCTTCCTTCTTTTGCACGTTCCGTCGCTGTGTTCTTCTCCCGCCTCTCTCTCTCTCTCTCTCTCTCCTCACCTGCTTCCTCCAAAACGGCAAAACCCTAACCAAACCCTCCCCCAAATTCTTCTCCCGATGTCTCCGGCGATGGCCCGCACGGCGAGTGCCGCCACCGGTGGCGACGAGCCGCCGCCCGAACCCCACCATCAGGCCGGCGTCCAGCGGCCGCCCAAAAATGACGGCGACGGCGGTGAGGAGGCGGGGGGCGGGAATGTGGGTGTTCCTGCGGCCGCCGCCGACGAGGATCCAACCGCCGGCGCGGTGGGTGCCGCGGGGAGGGGATCGAGGAGGAGGAGGAAGGCGGGCAGGAGAGCGGCCGCGCCAGACGAAGAGGACCTCGACACGATCCTCGCCGAGATCGACCAAAATATGGCCAGTGCGGCGCTCGATTCCATGCCGGAGATGAATCTGGCCCAGGCTTCGGCGTCCACGGCGATGGATGTGGCTGCTACCGTGAACGATGTTGGTGCCGAGGTGAAGGATGACGAAATGGAGGCGGAGTCGGCCGCTCCTAAGAGGAGGAAGCGGAAGAAGGAGAAGGAGAAGGAGAGGAAAACTACCTCGAAGGTGGCGGAGGCCGACGCGAAGAAGCCACCTAGGCACGTGCGGGTGATGCTGGAGGTGCTCGCCAAGAGGAAAGAGGCGGAGGAGCTGAGGAAGCGCGAGGAGGAGCTGAGGAAGAGGAAGGCAGAGGAGGAGCGGCTACAGAGGGAGGAGGACGAGAGGATGGTGGAAGAGATGAAGATGCAGCAGAAGGAGAGAGATAAGGGCAAAACGATGAAGAAGAGGCAGGATGGGAAGACCTTGACTGGGAAGCAGAAGGAGGAGGCTAGGAGGCTTGATGCCATGAGGCGACAGTTCCTTGGGCAGAGTAGAATTCTTGCTCGCAGCGACCTTGGCAATGATGGTGGTGCCAATGAGAGAAAGAAGAGGCCCATATATGATTCCAAGAGAAAGAAAGTGCAATCAAAGGCTGATGAGGCTGCTAATGGAGATGGCGGTCACATGCAGGAGCTTCATAAGGTTAACAAGGAAGAAGAAGAATGTGCCATTATGGAAGAGCAACCCCACTACCGTGTGGAGGAGGATGGGGAGAAAATCAAACTTGAGGAGATTAAAGGGGCTGAATCAGTAGAAGTGAGCAAAGAAGATGATGAAGAAAGCTAGGAGTATCAATGGGATGATAAGATATTTAGTAACGATGTCAATGCTGATGTGAATTTGTTTGAGAGAATTAACTTTGAGGAGAGAATCACAAAGGAAGAGAAGAATGAAGCTATGAAATCCTCCAATGAGGAGGTTGTTTCTCTAGTCACAGGCTGGAAGAATAGAATTGAAGAATGGGATGTTGATGTTGATGAAAATGATAAGGACACTAGAAAACTTACTCCAAAGAGAGATCCTGCTAAGGTGGACAAAGCTGAGAAATATACGGACCTCCGCTCACCGATCTGCTGCATTCTTGGTCATGTTGATACTGGAAAGACTAAATTGTTGGATTGTATTCGATGCACCAACGTGCAAGGAGGGGAAGCGGGGGGTATTACCCAACAGATTGGTGCAACATTCTTTCCAATTGAAAACATTAGAGAAAGAACCAAGGAGTTGAAAGCTGGTGCTGCTCTTCATGTTCCAGGATTTCTTGTTATTGATACTCCTGGTCATCAGTCCTTCTCTAACTTGCGTACTAGAGGTTCCAGTTTGTGTGATATCGCGATTTTAGTTGTTGACATCATGCGTGGTATTCAAGCACAAACAATTGAGTCTTTGAATATTTTGAAGAGACATAAGGCAGACTTCATCATTGTTTTAAATAAGGTTAAGCTTTGCATTAACATTGAAGAATTTCTGCTGATGTCTTGTCTTAGCTTGCTTATTGTCCTCAGTTTTCTTTCTTTTTCCTGTTGTCCAACAGGTTGATCGACTCTTTGGCTGGAAAAGATGTCCGAATGCTCCAATAAAGAAGGCTCTTAAACAGCAAGCTGAAGGTGTGAAGATGGAGTTTGATGCAAGGCTAACAGATGTATGTGAAATTGAAATTTGCATGTTATTTATGTGAATATTCTTGTGGCTCAAGTTGGCTTTGTTTCTCCATAACTTTGCCTTGTAGATTGTGATGTAGTTCAAGATGCAAGGCATCAATACTATTTTGTACTACAGAAATAAGGAAATGGATTGTACTTATAAGAACATTGTACCTACCTGTGCAATAAGGTATAATCTGTCACCAACCTTTCTGCTTCATTATTTTGGTTTCTGTAAGTAGTGTTAGAACTTTATTTGCTTTTCTTGACATGTAATGCAACACCTTCTCCAGTGGTGAAGGTATTCCAGATCTGTTGCTACTATCAATGCAATGGGCCCAAAAGAAGATGAAAGAGCGGCTTATCTTTTCTAACAACATTGAGGTACACATCTAGAGCTAATCTTCATAGACCATCCATGATGTTGCATTTCTATCATGTTCTAATAGATAATTTACTGCATGGGTCCATTTCACTTGTGATGAAATAGCTATGCCACGTTATGTTTTCAGTGTACTGTCCTAGAGGTTAAGGTTACTGAAGGCCACTGCACTACAATTGATGTTGTGTTGGCCAATGGTTTCCTCCGTGAAGGAGATCAAATAGTTACATGTGGCATGCAGGTATGAGTTATTCCATTCCTTTATTAACTAATTTAAAATGTTTATGGTCTTTCCGATACATTACTGATCATATTGCTTTTGTGCTTCCTAGGGACCCATTGTGACTCATATCAGGGCTCTGTTAACACCTCATCCTATGAAAGAGCTTCGAATTAAGGTGTGTAAGTGGTGATTTTTGATGCTTTCTTAGTTTCTTGTTATTATTATTTGTTAACACCTGGAATCCTGGATTCATTAAGTGAGCCATAATATCTTTTCACCGTTTTAAGGATGAAATACCTCTAGTATGAATTTGTTCGAGCAATTGGATTCATTATGTTTAGACAGTACTCCCTCCGTTTCACAATGTAAGTCATTCTAGTATTTCCCACATTTATATTGATGTTAATGAATCTAGACATATATATCTATCTAGATTCATTAACATCAATATGAATGTGGGAAATGATAGAATGACTTACATTGTGAAACGGAGGAAGTACTACTCTAGTCTATTGGGTGTTTAAGTAACAAAAGGAGTGAGAATTTGTTTCCCTTCCCTGCTTGAACTCTTTAACCACTACCTACCATTATATGTGAGGTTGATTGCTCGCTGGCTCTGTTGGTTTTAGGGAATATATCAGCTGATAAACAAACTTTGCTTCAGTAGATATGATCACTAAAACCAATCCCATCTGAGAAGCTGTGTGCAAGTCCAAACGAGATGCGGTTGGTTCAGTTGGTTTAATCTATTCTAAACTACTAACTTATAGGTAACACCAAAATGATTAGCCTGAAATTCAATCGAAACAAGACGGGCTGAGGGGGGAGAGTGGAAGAGAGGGACAGGCAGTCATGTGAATGAGTGGGAAGAGCAAGGCTGTCGCTCTATGTAGGTGTAGGGAGGTGTGAAGTGGGCAGGTTTCTAATCCAATGATAGACAGCTCAATGGACTGGGTAATCTAGTAATAAAGGAATCAGGAAATATAGACAGCCTATTTGGTAGGTTTGAGTAGACAAAGCAAACTAACCAATATTGCAACAACAAAGGCTATATAATAAAAATCGGGATGAAGTCAATTTTTCTGTGGGTTTGCTAATCAAAGTACTGTTGAATGTAGTGATTGCCTGTTTATGATCTTTTTCTGATGCATGCAACTAATGTACTGCCATGATAATGTTTCAGTGCCCATATCAACATCATAAGGAGATCAAAGCTTCTCAAGGCATCAAGATATCTGCGCCAGTGAGTCTCAATTCCACATTTCTGCATTTGAAATTTGGCACAACAAACTGATGAACATCCTCTCCCTTTTAGGGCCTAGAACATTCGGTTGCAGGCACAAGTCTCTTTGTAGTGCAGCCAGGTGATGATCAGGAAAAGTCAGTGAACAAAGCCATGGCAGAGATGGTTGTTTTAATGAACAGGATTGACAAGAACAGTGATGGTGTTTATGTGTAAGCTTCTTCTCTCGGGTCATTGGAAGCTCTCATAGAGTTTCTAAAGAGCCCAGCTGTCAATATCCCTATTTATGATTTCAATATAGGGCCTGTCCACAGAAAAGATGTTATGAAAGCCAGTGTGATGCTTGAGAAGAAGAAAGAATATGCAGCTATCTTTGCTTTTGATGTCAAAGTGATGCCTGATGCCCGTGAGATTGCCAATGAATCTGGTGTAAAAATCTTTGTGGCAGATGTAATATATCACCTTTTCGACCAATTTACCACATACATTGAGGGTTTGAGGGAAATAGAGAAGGATGAAAAGATTGTAGAGGCTGTGTTCCCTTGTGTTCTCAAGATCATTCCAGACTATGTGTTCAACTTGAAGGACCCAATTGTCTTAGGCGTTGATGTCCTTGAAGGAGTAGCTAAGGTATTGTACTAACCTACCACTCTAGCATATGCCTGCTTTTTGCTCTCCTTTCTGCTGCAAGTTTTTCAAATGTTGGAATCATTTGTTTAACCAATTGACTTTCAGTTCTGTCATTCTTGTGAAATACTTCTATGATATTCATTTAGGAGCTTTCATTCTGATTTTGTGGTCTGCACTAGCTCTGTCTCAATCATTATCAGTTGAACGGAACCTTATCTAAATGTCTCCAATTTAGGTGGGAACTCCTCTGTGTCTCCCTTCCAATGGTTTCGCTCGTATTGGGAACATTGCCTCTATCCAGAATAGCAGTAAGCAAGTTGATGTGGCAAGAAAAGGAGAGAAGGTTGCTATAAAGGTATAATGACTTCTATATTTGAATTAAACTTGTATGATTTTGATGAAATCACAGAATATAGTCTTGGGCGTTTTCGACAGATCACAGGAAGCACTCCAGATGAGCAAAAGAAATGTTTCGGTAGGAACTTTGGAATTGACGATGAACTGGTTAGTTTTATGACAAGGAAATCGATCGACCTTCTTAAAGAAAATCATCGGGTAACTTCAGTTTTGTTACCATTTTGTGTTCACTTTGTATACTGATTACGGAAATTGTAAAATGGTTTTGTTTACTGATTCATGCAGGGTGACCTCACGTTGAAAGAGTGGGAGCTTGTGAGGACGCTAAAGCACATCTTCCGTATACCTTGAGGATTAAACTCCCATATTTGTACATAGTACCATACGCTGTTGCTACTTGCCAGGCATGGGGTGTATGCCCATGACCTCTGTTTACTCGGCTGCTACTCTTCTCGGTGAAACTGATAATGGCTAATGACCATGCACAGCTGCAGCTTCTATCTTGAATCTTGATGGCCCATTGTTGTTGGCCTGTTGGCTGTTCCTATTTAGGGTAGCTTAAGGTGTTCAAGGTTTTTCATGTTTTGGCTGAAGTATACCTTGTGAACTTTGTTGGGTTAATACTTTGGTATGCTAGTCTATACGCAGAGTTTATGTGTATCTGGTTGCCCAAAGAAGTGCTGAATTTGGCCTGCGTGGCTACACTCGTCATTGTCTGCCGGCCTGGGTTAGAAGGCTGGAAATGCTCTGTTCCTCTTGGAAATGGATCTTGAGATCTATTGGATGCCTAAATCAACGCCTGGTTTACATGTTTCCTACTGAACAATACCGATCAATGTAGACAGAGACAGGTACTCGATCTATTCAAAATGCCCATATTATAATTTTTTAAATGCCCATACTCCACAACCATTGGTTATGATAATTTTTATTCCATACAACCATTGGTTACGATAATTTTTATTTCATACCTTGCCCCTCTCTTGATCTATATTGATCTATATTGCTCCATCTCTCAATACCGTAGAAGTTCTAGCTTTTAACTCATTTGCCCAAAGAGATGATGGGCAAGTGTTGTTCTTATATGTACGTACCAAGGCCCACATAAAGCATGAGCTTTTACAGTGATTGTGAGGTACTTAGAAATATTAAAACAAATACTTATAATGAGTTAGAAAACTACATTTTTTTCTCAAAACCGCTAAAGTAGTGATTTAACATCGAAGTGGTGAAAATACAAAATGTATGGTTCAAGATCTTTCTGTTCACTCTGTGAAACATTCTACTACTATCATAGTACCAATACTCTGACAGGTGAAGAAATTCCTTCTGTCAGTTGCTTCTGTATCAAACGTTTCTCTTCTTTGTTCTTCGGGTAACTTGATCCTGTTGAGGAGGTTCCATCATCCTGAAAATCACACTCATCACAAGTCTTCTCATCTGACAGAATGACAACCTTTAGATTTTTAGCTTGCTCCATGATTAATCTTGTAAATATCATATATTTGTCATTTGCCTCAAATCCACAAATCTCTAGTTGTGCCAAATGGTAGTGCTGGAAATTAAAATCTATCCAGAACATGTTCCTTTTCTCTGGGAAGAGGATTTGCCTCTGCTTGACTTCACTTCCTCCATACTGGCAAGAATGTTTCTGGACCTGTAATCAAACATACCTTGTCAAAATGGTGGGAATCAATAAATTTAGAGAGAGAGAGAGAGAGAGAGAGAGAGAGAGAGAGAGATCTAATCCACATTTATAACTATAGTTTGAGGACTACTACATGCGTCAAGGACAAAGAATCTAAATATCTAATCCATCTCAGTATGAAGCATGGAGTAGAGACAGCTAAACCCTTTGTGCCATTGGAAGATTTCAAAGTTAACAGTTACGCGAATTGCTAGAAAAATACAAAAATGGATTAATTTGTGTTGAGCCACTTACCCCAATACTAAATTTTCGGAGGGACGGTGCAGCTTTAAGGAGGTACAACGTCCATAGAAGGTCACACTCGTCAAATATCCGGCAGAGAGACAAGGTAGTCAGCCTGCCAAACGCAGCAACAAATCGGTTTGAATCCTCAGGTTGTATCCAAATCTAAGGAGAAAACAAAAAAGAGAAACAATTAGGCATCAACAGTATCAAACATAAATCTATGGGACTACAAGTTCTATCTTAAAATATAGCAATCTAATATCAGAAGAGTCACATATTAGTACAACATAAATTTGGATAAAACTAGAATATCCCTTAGCCGATACTGATTGTTATATTTTATATAAAATTACAGTACTCCATCTGTCCCAAATTAGTTCTCTCTTTATCATTTAAATTTTTTCTCACAGTAGTTGTCGCTCCAAAATACTACTTGACCCATTAATCACGTATCATTTGAATTTATCCTCATTCTACCCTCAAACACCCTTCTATTCTCAATCATGCATTATTCGATAAGAGTAGTTTTGTCTTTTATTTTAAACTTTAGCATATACCAAACAATCTAGAAAACAAGTACTCCCTTCGTTTCGAAATGTTTGACGCCATTGACTTTTTAGCACATGTTTGACTGTTCATCTTATTCAAAAAATTTAAGTAATTATTAATTCTTTTCCTATCATTTGATTCATTGTTAAATATATTTTTATATAGGCATATAATTTTACATATTTCACAAAAGTTTTTGAATAAGACAAACGGTCAAACATGTGCTAAAAAGTTAACGGTGTTAAACATTTCGAAACGGAGGGAGTAATTTGGGATGGAGGTAGTAGGAACTAACTGAAGTTTTTTTCCAAGATGTCCACCCAACTTACCTCCTCATTTCTGAAATTGAGAGATAGGCAATCCAGGTTGGTGGCGCTAGCCAAGAGCTCGCTCAGCCTGAATCTTTGTGAAGAACGCCGTGTACAAGAATTGACGAGAGAAATCTCGCGGAGGCACGGAGCCGCGGCGAGGCGGAGCGGAGCAGTCGTGGTCGTCGAGCTCCAGCTCTCAAGGGTGAGCCGGACAAGCTTCGGCGCGCGTCGCAGCTCGACCCGCCGGTAGCCGCACCCCCTGACCACCAGCTCCCGCAGCTCCGGCGCGCCGTCGATCGCCAGCGCCGCGCCCTCGCCTCGGCCGGCGCGGCAGCCGTGCAGCGTGAGGTGGACCAGCCGCGCGCACGCGCCCAGCACAGCGGCCACGTCCGCCGCGGTGAGCCATAGCCTCTCCAGCCGGAGCTTCGTGATCAGCAGGCCGCGCGGCCGCGCCACGAGGCCGGTGAGGAGGAGGCGCCGCCGCGCGCCGTCGCGCATCTGCGCCTCGGTGGTGTCCGCCGTCGCGCGGACATCGAGCTGCACCGAGCTGCATCGTGCGCCGCCGCCGCCGGCGTCAGCCGCCGCGCCCGCGGCGAGAAGGAGGTGGCGCACGGCGTAGACGAGCTCGTCGTCCTCCTCGTCCGTGAGGAGGAACCTCAGCGCGAGGCAGTGGGTGGCCGTGGGGGAGGCCAAGAACGCCATGGCTGCCCTGACGAAGGGAGGTATGGCTCGGTCGAGGTCTCGCTGCTGCAAGTTCTTGAAACCGTCTTCTCCTCCGGCTCTGGCTGATCTGGGGAGGAACTGGAAGATGCTGAGGAAGGGCCGGCGTATCCACCATGGGAGGTGCAGCCATCGCCTCGACAGCACGCTGGTTGCCACCGCTTGGCGCGTGTTGCCCAGCTTCTCCAAGATGGACACCAGCACATCGTCCGGCAACTCGCTGATTCTATCCTCCCCTGCAATCGCCTGCAGCATCATGAATAATTATAATTAATTAACCTTATTTTAGTGAAGGAATTAATAAGAGTATATATGTGACAAAAAAAGAGAGAGTTAAAGCGCTTAATTAAGTGAGGATTAATTACCACTCGTTGATTGCTTGGGCGTGGAAGGAGCTCCATTGGATGCAACATCGTTAATCGTCACCTGCGCGGCTGCACCCAAGCTTGCATCATCTGTGTAAATAAATATTTATCTCTTCGTTGACAATTAAAGATATTTATATCGGTATTTTGATACATCCATATTTGAGTCGATTTTTAAGTCCCTTCACTTTTGGAAATACAAAAGGAGTCGAATAAGGAATCAATTTTAAAAACTCGCACGTTAACTTGGGACGAGAGTCGGACTCCTAATTATCTAGGTGAATTCCCACGATAAATTTCGACCTAGTTAAACCGTATAACAATGATAAAATTAAAATAACACATTTTTTCTAGTTACTAATAATGAGGAAACATGAACGGAAGGGTAACTGAAATAAAATCGGAGAACGCTAATGATTTCCGCGACTTATTCGGATTAGGAACAAATTACTACTCCCATACCGCTTAGCTTAGTTTCAGAAATCCTAATCCTACCAGGCTAGGGTTATCTATTGAAGAGGAAGAAGTAAGAAGGAACATAGAGAATAATCCTAATTTCCTTTAAATCTATCTCTCTCATCCTATCAGTGTGTTTTTGTGTATTTTCTTTGTGTTTTGCAATCATTTATTTTACCACCTGTTTGGTAGAGTTCCAACTCTTAAATTTAACTTAAGGAGTTTATTCTAGAGTGGTGTCGTGGAGCAGCCTAAACCCAACTTCACCACTCTGGTTTATTTTATGAGAGAGTTTCAGTTAGCTCCACTCTTATTTTAGGTGGAGTTGAAACCATTTGGCTGGTATTTAGTTGCAGTAGAATTGGAGTCGTGTTAAATAGTCGTTACATTATTGTTGGAAATCCTATGTTTTGCTCTCTATTTATTATTTTGGAATAAGTTCAGTTGGGGTCCCTTAATTCGTCGCCGAGTTTAAAATTCGTCCCCGAACGCAATACCAAATATGACGCATCCCCCAACTTTCAAAACCAGCGTAAATAAAGTCCCAAGACGGTTTGGGTAGTGGTTTCGGCTGACGTGGCGCATACGTGGCATTGACGTGGCACTTAAAAGTGAGAAAAAAACCGTGGAACCCACCTATTAGGGAGTGTGTGGTTAAAAGTAAAAAAAATGCAGCGGATTCTACTTTTTTTCTTTCTCTTTTATCTTATCTTGCTTCTCCTTCCCAGCATCCAGCGGCCGGCTGGCGGGTGAGATTGCTAAGGGGCGATCGATCACCCCTAGCGATCAGGTAACAGATCCCTCTCCCTCCTCCTTCCACCTGGTTTTCTTTTTTGGCACCGCATTATTTTTCTATTTTAGTATATTTATACACCTAAAGTTTGTACACCTCACGTTTACAAATCTAAAGTTTATACACCTAAAGTTTAGAGACCCAAAGTTTACAAGTCAAAAGTTTATATACCCGATTCAAATTTGAATTTGAATTCAAATTTTTTATATATAGTATTTCTATACATCTAAAGTTTATAGACCTAAAGTTTATAGACCCAAAGTTTATAAGTCAAAAGTTTACATACCCGATTCAAATTTGAATTTGAATTATATCCGATTTAAATTTAAATTTGAATTCAAATATTTTTTAATATAGTATTTCTATACATCTAAAGTTTATACACCTAAAGTTTATAGACCTAAAGTTTATAAATCAAAAGTTTACATACTCGATTCAAATTTAAATTTGAATTCAAATATTAGTGTATAGACCCAAAGTTTATAAGTCAAAAGTTTACATACCGATTCAAATTTAAATTTGAATTCAAATATTATTTTATAAACCCAAAGTTTATAAGGTTGCCATCCGAAAGCAAGTGATTTGGCTTATCGGCCAAACTAGAACTTCCTATTTCAGCCAAAGAATTTCCATGGATTGGCTTATTGCTGGAAGCAGGATCTTCTGTGGCTTACATAATTGTAGCTCTCAATTGATAGTAGCATACACTTATAATGGGTTTAGGAATTAGGGATGCAGAAGGAAAGGTCACATGATTAGTTTCCACGGACAAATATGCATGTAGTGCTGGACCCACAATTTTGGCTGAAAAGCCACAGCCTTATAAGCCAAACGATGGGCTTCGGCTGGACTTCGGCTGAAAAGAAAAGGCCCAAGCAAGCCCTCCGATGGCAGCCTAATTCAAAAGTTTATGTACCCATTTCAAATTTAGATTTAAATTTATTTTTTTTTATATATAGTATTTCTATACATATTTTTTTCAATTTTGTTTTATATATATATTTTTTTAAATTTATGGTGTAGTAGGAAGAGAAGAAGTGGAGGAGGAAGAGGGGAGAGAGCATATAGGGGGATGGGGATCGGCGATCGATCGCCCATTAGCCACACCCGCTGGCCGGCGCTCATGTTGAACTAGGCGGATGAATTTTAGACTCGAAGACAAATTGAGGGAACTAAAGTGAACTTATTCCCTTTTTTTTTTCATCGCTGCTATTCCCTTTTTTATTTCATCGCTGCGATTCAATCTCCTATTCTCCTACCCAGCGAGCACTTATTTCGAATTAGCAACCTTTTTCTGGGTCATTCCCAAAGTGTTCGTGGAAAAAGACAAGAAGACACGCCTCCCTTCCCTTCTTCTTTACCACGCTAACCACTCACGCTTCTCCTCTCAAGGTGTTCGTCCAAAACCCCAAGCCAAAACCCTCCCTCAAAATTCCCCTCCCCGGCGATGGCCCGCACGACGAACGCGAACGCCGGCGCCGGAGGAGGCCACCGTCAGGGCGTCCCGCGGGTGCCGCCCAGCCGCAGAGACGCCGGCCGAGAGGACGGGGTTGCGGAGGATGGGAGTACGGGGGCTCCTGCGGCAACCACCGTCATCCCCGGCTGCGCCGCGGCACGCGCGGTGGGTGCGGCAGGGAGCAAATGGAGGAGGAAGGGGACGAGCGGGAGGGAGGCGCCGTACGAGGAGGACTCGGGCAGGGTTCGCTCTGCGTTCGGTCTGGATGCCGTGCTCTCGTACACGCCGCAGGTGGTGATGGTCTTCACGGAGAACGATAACAAGGGAAGAGAAGATGGCACGCACACCCAAGGCCACAATCTGAGCCTCACTTGGCCGCCACCCAAGGATGACATCCGCGGCGATGGCCACGACGAAGCGGGGCATCGGATTGCGAGGGATGCTGCTGCGGCCACCGGCGCCCGTTCGGTGGATGTCGCGGGAAGGAATCCGAGGAAGGAGAAGAGCGGGAGGGCTGCCCGGCCCGACGCGGTGGATTTGGGTAAGCAAGACCCATCGGGCGTTTCGCCCACATCGGGCGTTTCGTCGCCAGCGTTGGCTCCTTCGTGTCTGTCGGAGGATGGTAATTTCCATCGGGAGAATGTCGAAATGCAAGCTGAAAGAGCCAATGGTTGGAGGAGGAAGGAGAGGAAGGCGGCAGTGGAAGCATCGGAGGTGGAGGTGAAGAGGCCTGGAAATCAGAAGGGGCATGGTTTGCTTGATCAGAGCGGAGATTCAGTTGGCAACAATCATGTTCTTATCAGCAGTAGTAATCATGAGAGGAAGAAGAGACCAATGTATAATTCTGAGGCCGCTAAGGAAAAGAATAGAGTGCAATCCAGCAGCAATGATCGATTCCACAGACTTAACAATGATAAGATCAAAGAATGTTCCAGTGCTGAAAAGGTACCCAAGTTGTCGGATGTGAATACCAAGGAGAAAAGTGAAATTGATCAGCTGACCAAAGGAGCAATACTTGCCAACGAAGATCAATATGAGTGGGATGATCTGTTCTTTGATGATGGTGGAAGTAAATTTCTGACTGTAGAAAACAAGTGTGAAGTGGAAGGCGTGGAGGCCAGTGATAAAAACGATATGGGTACCAGAGGTTTAGCTCATCCTGCTAAAGTGGAACAGGCTAGGAAAGATATGGGCCTCCGCTCACCAGTCTGCTGCTTTCTTGGCCACAGTGGTACTGGGAAGACTAAACTGTTGGATTGTATTTTGCGCACCAATGTACCAGAATCAGAAGCTGGGGGGATCACCCAACAGTTCGGAGTAACATTTTTTCCCATGGAAAACATCAGAGAGAGAATCAAGGAGTTGAAAGCTGATGCAGTTCTTTCATATTCCAGGATTGCTGTTAATTGATACTCCTGGTCATGAGACCTTCAGGAACTTTCGTTGTATAGGTTCTCGCCTCTGTGATATTGCTATCCTGGTGGTTGATGTTATCCTTGGGCTTCAAATGCAGACATTAGAGTCATTGGATCTTCTGAAGAAGCATAAGATTGATTTCATCATTGCTTTAAATAAGGTTTGATTTGCATTCATGAAAAATATGCTCCTAAACCTGCACTAACTTGCTTATTGTCCTGAGTTCCTCCTTCTCAAGTTTCAATATTCTTGCCCCTTCTTTCTGAAGGTTGATAATATCGATGGCTGGAAACAATATCCAAATGCATCTTTCGAGAAGGCTCTTGCACTTCAAAGTGAATCTGTTAGGATGGGATTTGAGAAGAGATTGTCTGATGTATGTGAGCACAATTCTTTAGATTTTGTTTATTCCACTTTTCTGGTATGCCAACTTGATATCTCCATGACTATGCCCCTATAGATTGTGAGCCAACTCAATGCTCAAGGCATTGTTTCTGGTCTATACTACATCAACAAGGACAAGGATGACAAATTTAAGAACATTGTGCCTACCAGTTCAATCAGGTATAATACATCCCTAGACTGCTGTGTATAAATTTTGATTTCTGCCAATTACATTAATATTATGCATGCCTTCCCTGACACATACGCAATTCCCTTCCCCAGTTGTGAAGGCATTTCAGATTTGTTGCTCTTGTTATCAGATAGGGCACAAAAGATGAATGAACGGCTTACCATACGGGACAAAATTGAGGTAACATGGAGCTAA